TTCTTTATCCAGTCTCCAGTTGATGGGCATTTGGGCTGTTTCCAAGCTTTAGCTATTACAAACTGTGCTACTATGAACATGGGTACACATATATCTCTGTGGTATGATTCTTTTAATTCTTTTGGGAAAATACCCAGTAGGAAAATAGCTGGGTCAAATGGGACCTCCAGGTCTAGTTCTTTGAGGAATCTCCACACTGATTTCCACAGTGGCTGCACCAGTCTGCACCCCACCAACAATGCAGAAGGGTTCCTTTCTCTCCACACCCCCGGCAGCATTTGTTATTGGTTGGCTTCTTGATAGCAGCCATTCTTTCTGGGGTGAGGTGGAATCTCAACATTGTTTTCATCTGCATCTCAATACCAAATAGTTTCTCTAGTGTGAGAAACTGAGAGTGTAAATAAGGACTAGAAGGATTAATAACTAATAATTGATACTTTGAAATAAGAAAAGGTCCAAAGGGGTAGGGGTGGTGGGAGGAGATGGGGAAAGGAAAGAATGGAAAGGAAAGATTATGAGAAAAGAAAAGAAAAGGAAACGAAGTATGTAAATAGGGAAGGGTGGAGGGGTGAAGGGCCCACAGGTAATGGGGAAAAAATAGGAACCAAGATACATCATGTACAGGTACAAGCACCCAATGCTAAATGTAAATGTATTGTATACCTAAAATGTACCAATAAAAGAACTTAAGAAAAAAAAAAGAGAGATTGGAGATTGAAGTCATGATCCCTTAATTCTTTGAGAATCATTTACTCCCTAGGATCTACTTGCAATAAAATAGGGAAAGATTTCTGAAATGTAAAGTATAAAACTGATCTTTACAAAGATAGATGACCTTAGAAAACCTGGAATAATATTATCACACCAGCATCCACCTGACATACATTTCGGGTGCACAGTTCTACGAACTTTGGGCTAGTTATTTCCTGTGATCCTCCAAGGCTTCAAGTACTTTATGTATTTTGGTCACCACTATCTGTGCCCTTCCTAAGGAAAGTGAGTTCACCTACAGGAGCAAGCATCCTTTGTCATTTATGACTAATTCATCATGACATTTCAATATGAAGAGTAGAAATGAGCTAACCTTAGTTTGGAATGTATGCATATTAAAATGTTAGTATAAATGTAATGTGTACTATTAAGAATTTACATGGAGCTTAAAATATTTAAAGTACCTCTATATGTTTTATTGCTATTCTTAGGGTTGATTTTATCATCATTTTATAGTGCCAAAAAAGTGAGAGATTACATGTCCTATATAAGATCTTCCAGGAAGAAGAATGAGAATACAGGATGAGCCCTACAACTTCTTTCTTCAGTGTCTGTCTTTCAAACAACTAATGTCTAGTGTGAGGTGGAGGTGGGGTATTTTTATGTGTCGTATAGAGAACTGAAATTTGGAAACACCTTATATGAAGAATCTGTCAACTCACATGTAACTTCTCTACCTTAACTTATTATACATAGCCTGAGATCTAACATTTCTGCTTCTCTTTTTAATGAAGTAAGAAAATAATTTTTAACTAGCACCATGACTTACCCAGGGCTTCTTACAGGGTCAAGATGTGTGAGTTTTTCTTATAATACTTTTTGATCCAGTTATTTAGGTTCTAAATTAGTTGGTTTCTTCACTTCTCTATCCTGAACTCTAAAAATGGAGAACCAACAGACATGTGTGGCTGCCCTGCCTGCCTGGCTCTGCGGGAGGGGCCTGGCAGCATTTCTATCATGAGACATTTCTAAAGGTTTATAACTCAGCCGTAAATACTTGTCACTGGCAGAAATGTAGCCTAGAGGATCACAGGGCTGGAGTAAATTATTCATTTATAAATTTCACTGACTGGCTTTAAATTATTTTAACTGTATTTATCTTTTGTAATGGGAGAAAAAAATAATAACTTTATGGTTCAAGACATTTCTGTCCTCCTATGAATCAGCACAGCAGTGGAATGTAAGTTTTAAAAAAAGTCACCAAAAAAGTGGTCACCAAAAACAATAATTCTTCCTTCTTCAAGAGAAAGGCTTGAGGGCTGACATTATTCAACAGAAGATCTAATAGCAGAACTTAAGGGAAAAAAATGAATGTTATGAACTATTGATTAACTCCCCAAAGCCTCCATCCTCATTTGCTCTTTTATTTCTTATAGGGCTCAGGGAGTTGCCTTTAACACCAGACTGGGTGTTGATGCCACAGCTGCAGGCAGAGGGCAGGAAGGGGAGGGCAGGAAGGGGAGGGCAGGAAGGGGAGGGAGGGCAGGCATTGCTGGTTTGATGGGGAATGGTCCCTGTGTTATTTCAGGAGCAGAGCTGCAGACCCACCTACCCTCTAAACTTTTTTACTTGTTTCCTAAGGGAAAAGTCTTGCTTCACACTTGTTCTTAAATTGTAGAGGACTTTTCAAAAGAACATAAATTCTACCAAATCAAGCCTTAAATTTGTGTTTACCCAGCCCCTTATCTGTACTACCAGCTCTATTGAAATAGTATGCATTTAGACACTGAATGGATGAATGGATCAGAGTCTGAGGGGTCAGACATACCTAGAAGAGGCTAAAATATGTTTCAAACTTAAATATTTAAAATTTGGACTTATAATTTAGCAGGGTGACACAAATAGTCACACTTTCAGTTGGACTTTACTTCCAAATTCACAGAATTTACGACTTGATAAAAAAGTCACCTTAATCCTTAAGGATTCAAAATCTACTTCTAAAAAAGCAGTTTTTTATATCTTGCCTCTTAAATATAACCACTGAAATTTGGTAAAATAATCTATTTTAAGTGTACAGATCTTTACAATTTTGTACTATTTTTTCCTGATTACAAAAACCACACATCAGTTAGAAAATTTGTAAAATACCAAAATTGCTTTAAATACTGCAATTGCTTTAAAACAAAAAATGTATACATATAACTGTCAAAAATTAAATATATTCAAGGTGTATAACATGATGGTTTGGTTTCTGTAAACATTATGTAATAATTGGAACAATCAAATTAATTAACACATCCCTCACTATCCATGTTATCCATGAAACTGTTCATCTTCTAACTGAAAGTTAGACCCCTCATCTCCTCATAACTACTGTGAACTTTCTACTTCTATGATTTCATCGTTTTTAGATTCCTACAAATGAATTCATTTAATATTTGACTTTCTGTGTCTGGCTTGTTTCACCTAGAATAATGTGCTCTAGGTTTATGCATGCTGTTGCAAGTCTCAGTATTTCATTGCAAAAAACCACAAATAACCCTATGAAAAAGTAGTCAGTAGATCTGAATAAACATTTTTCTAAAGAAGACATAAAGCTGGCCAATGGATATATGAAAAGTTGATCAACACCACTAGTTATCAGGGTAATGAAAATCAAAACCACAATGAAAAAACGCCTCACAACTATTAGGATAGCTATTATAAAACATGTTGGCAATGATATAAGGGAAAATGAATCTATGTACTGTGTTGGTGGGTATGTAAACAGTCATGAAAAACAGTGTGGAGGTGTCTCAAAAACTAAAAACAAAACTACCATACAGTGTATCAATACCTGTTGGGTATATATCCAAAGGAAATGAAATTAGTATATTGAAGAGGTATCTATATCTATGCAGCATAATTCACAAGAGTCAACATATAGAAACAACATAAATGTCCACCAAAAGATGAATTGATAAACAATATGATATATATATATATTTATATGCACAATGGAACAACAGTCATAAAAGGAAGTAAATTGTGACAACTCAGATGAACCTGGAGAATGTTATGCTAAGTGAGATAATCCAAGCACAAAAAGAAAACTACTGTATAAGCTCTGAATTGTAGAATGTAGATTAAACAAATACAAATAAGTTCTATTATTTGTCTTAGTTTTGCTTTGCAGCAAAGTTTATAAATTAATGGATCTAGAATTTGAGTTCTTATGGTGGAAAAACTTTCAACTGAATAGTGACTTAAGAAGGAAGAAACAATCCGAGGAAAATATAGGGAAAGATCAGTTGGTTTTTAGACAGCTCAGGAATCACAGACCAAGCATTTGAGGTTCCATTTCAAGAATAAGGGGAATTGTACTGCCCTCTCATAACCTGTCCCTTTCTCTTGGAAGGAGTTGGTCAAATTTGTTGTTTTCCTTCATTGCTGCTCCTGCTGGCAGCAGGTGCTGATCTGGTCTCTTCTCTGTGTGAGCTGCCTAGGAGGTACCCTATAGATGGGGATACGTGAGGTGCATTGCTGGCAGGAAGACATAGCAAGAAGAATGATCTTTGGGACCATGGTCTAGCAGTGACATTTCTCTAGGAGTACAAGTACATCATTCTTTTCAACATTGGCTCATTAGATTCTTACACAATTCTGTGATGCAATTAGAGCTGCTGTCATTGTCATCACTCGGGAGTTGAAAGCAAGCCATGCAGAAGATGTATAGGACGACCCTGGAGGTCATCAGCTAACTCGTGAAAGATCCAGGGTGAGAACTTCAGACTCCTGGACCATTGTAAATTTCCATATAACATTTAGTGGCAGTAATATATTTTTCCTATTTTTAAAATCATTAAATGTATCAAATCTAGTAGAAAATATTTTTGAACAAAATTCTACCAATGAACATTAAAGTTGCACAGTGTTGTAGGTTGAGTGTGCTTAATATGTCAGACACAAAAGGTAATATGGTTTCCAATAGTTTTTAAACAAAAGACTTTGTTCACTTGTCGGGCACTTATTGGAATGAAGTGATATCTGTATTAAATGTATGCCCCTTGTATTCTTGTTCTAAAGTTTTCCCAGCCCAATCAGGAAATATCAAAATCTGTGAGGAGTCAGAAATATTAAGGAGTCTCTAAAGGAATAATTGTCTTTTCCCCTGTGCCTATCCTATTTTTATTGGATTGTTGGTTTTTAATTGTTTTCCTATCATAATTAATAGGCCCTTTCTTCATTTTCTTACCTTCTTTTTGTAGCATTAGTTGAATTTCTAATTCCTACTGTATTTTTTCTCCTAGGTAAAACTGATAACCAATACATCGTCTTTGTGGCTGTAGGAACAGTTTTATTCTTGTTTGTTATCCTAATTGTCACCATCACGGTCATTTCTTATAACAGGTGAGTAGAGCAACATATTCTGAATCTTTCTTGCCCTGAATAATTCTGGTGTTAGAGGTCCTCTGTTAATAACCCAACAATTTGTCAAGTTGTCTCAGCATTCGTATACTGTTCAGCATTTGAATACTGTTCTCATGCAGGGGGAGATGTGGGGTGCTGATATTAGAGGTAAAAGCTGGAATAGCTCACCTAGGTATTTGTAGGCTTTGGCAGGCTCCCTTCATATTCCACCTGGTGCCTCTGAGCTGCCTACACCTGATCTTCTTCTCCTTTAAGGAAAAAGCTGTCTTTGGGGGTTGGGGGAAGATAGTGCCTGAAGTTATTCATCCATCAGATATATATTGGGCAAAGTAATAAACAAGATGTAATGAAGAGCACATTATAATAAGCTAACAACATGATTTCAAGTAGTTGTATATTTTCTAAAACAAGCAATCTAAATTTAATTTTATTAAAAATTATGGAGTTATCCTAGAGACAGTGGGTAATCATTTAGGATATCCTGAAGTCTCCTCCTTTTTGCTGTTCTGTGGCATGGGGTAAATTTTGAGAATTTGTTTTGGTTGATCCCTTCTTTTCTTTATCAGGTCTCTCATGTGAGAGACATTAATCATTTGTCTAGTTTTTTTTGGACTTCCTAGCTATAATTGTACTGGTTTGGAGTTTTGGGAGAAATTACATGTTGGTTGTTTGCAGTTTGCATGTCTGGGAGACCTCTGTTACTTTATGTATGTTTGTTGAACAAATGAACACATTCATTTCCACCCTTCTTACTTTAATAATAGTTACACATTCACACACAAATACACACACAGACACACACACCCTTTATTTATAAGATCCCCAGCGGGTTCCTGCAACTTGTCTCATACTCTTGACCTCTACCTTTTCCATCATTTACCTGGTTATACTAATAATCTCCAACCTGCCCTCCTTCTTACAAGTACATCCTCTCCTTCTAACCTTATGATTTTTTTCTAGTTTCGCTTTTGAAAGTTGGACTGGCGATGTCATCTTCCTGTATAACACTTTTTATTATTTCCCTTCCACCAGCAGAATAATCGTAAAACTCATCAGCCCTTTCTGTTATTGAAGGTGTCCTGCTTTCTGTTCAATGCCTACCTTTTCATTTATATTTTCTACTTTATTTACTTCCCCTAATTTTGAAAAAAAATTAAAAACTGTAAGTTTTATTCTTGAACACACTCAGTTATCTTCCCATCTGGTATGATACCAAAATGTGATTTTTCTCATGCTTGGCTTTAGTCCTATGCATCATTCAACGTGCAGGACACTTGTCCCCTCTGTTGAGGTCTGTCCTATTTCTCTGCCCCTGCAAATAGACATGATGTCACTATCTGGAATAATTTTGTACTTCTTATCTGTTACTCCTTGTATCACACTTTGTATTTTAATCATGTTCATATCTTCCTCCCTTTTATGGTATTCAGGGATTGTATTTTGTTCATTTTTTGGTATCTGGTAGCATTTAGCACCAATCTGAACAAGTACAGTAATGGATGTTCACTAAGTACCTAATTAAATTGAAGCATGAGACAGTCATTTTACCCTTTCCTGCACCATGGATTGCTCTCAAAGCTTTCCTTAAGAAATTAGCAAACTGAGGTAAGGACCCCAAGCATTTATGTCACTGAGAATTTTTCTACTGCCTCACCTTAGTTGATAAAAAAATGCAGAGAGGGCAGAGGTGACAGGAATTGCGCTCTGGGAGAGGCAGCACGAGTGAGAAAATGAGTGATAGAATGGACCTCTTGAGGATTACATGTTGGACATGATGGACTTGTCTTTATGTAATTGCATCACTTTTCAGGAATAGCTGAATTGAACTGCAGAATATTTTGTCCTACTCGGTTAATGTAGTGAAAAGATTAGTAGATTCAATCGCATTATCATGGGTGAACACAAGAAAGGAAAGGAGCACCTGTTCTTTCTCCTTTGTCATTGGTCTCAGTTTATGATTGCTACTTCACTTTTTTGGAAAAATGACCTAAGGACTTCAACAATGACCCTCTGGAGCTCTGTCTGACCAACCGTTTGAAATAATCCTATAGCTTCAGATGTGGTGACTTGTGTAGAAGCTGAAATAAATTCTTCCTTCACTCTTGGCGCCTAGTCACTTGTGTGTTCAGGGACATTGGATATAGTTCCTGTGTTCCTGGGTGTGTTTTTCTCACATAGACATCAGCACAGTAATACTTGTACATGAGCATGGCCAGAAGTGATGCACAGCATTGGTAAACGTGAAAGGAACTATGATATCAGAGAGGTGGACACTGATGTTAGTAAGAAGAAATTTAATATGCAGTGAGATAAACGTTAGACACTTATTTGTATATTTGCTGTTGATGTTGATGTTCAAAACAAATGTGGTGTTTTGATTTGCCTGAGACTTTCCTGCTTTCAGCATTGCAAAAGAAGTTCATCCTGGAAGAGACCTTAGTACAATACAAACAGAACAGCTGGTCAACACAGAACAGGCTTCAATATGTGTACTATTTTTATTTTACACAGGAGAGGACTGATCTTTAGAAATGAAAATCATTCAGCTAGTAAATATCAGAGCACAAGTTAAACACAGAGCATCTGATTATAAGCTGTCTATTCTTTTAATATTCTCCACGATTCCTTAAATGTACACACACACACACACACACACACACACACACACACACACAGGGATGTATCAGGGAAAGTTAACTGCATATATGACACTGTCTTGGACATTATGATTCAATAAAGGATCAAAGGTCATAGATTTGTGTCTTGCCTGCCTCATCTGTATACAGAAGATGATAACAGCTGCCATATTATGGATCCCTTTGATGAGTAAAAGACATAATTTATATAAAACATTGAGAAATGTTTCATCATAAATTTACACATAGAATAAGGGAATTAAGGAATAATTGGTTTAAATAAACAGATGCACATAGAATAAAATAAGATTACATTGACATGGAAGGAGGATTTCCAAGCAATTAAAGGAGAGCATTAGAATCAATATCTATCACTAAATAATCTTTCCTTGGAGAGAGACTCTCTTGTTTTTCAAGACTCCTATAAAGGAATCACAGCCTCATATTAAAATAAAAAAACAAAAGAAAAAAATCCTGCATTTTTGCATCTAACTTATCTCTTCTGTTGATAAGTAGAATTTTTTTAGAGATCTGAAAAAGAGATATTCATGATCTCTTCACGTACTTGGATATAGTTCTTTTTTTGCATTCAATTACACTAGCCTCCTTTTTCTTCTCTTTTATCTGCTCTTTGGAGATTTCTCTAGAAGTTAAGTTTTTATAATTTTCCTTGAAACTGTGGAGTTTGTTGAATAATATGGTTCTAGATGGCCCATTTAGGCACAGCCAAGTGATTCTAGAAGTCTTAGAGCTTCAGAATCAGGAGGGACTACTGTGGATTTAAATCCTGACACTAAGCAACCATGTGATTCTCGGCAAGCGACTCTGCCTGTGCACACCTAATTCCTAATCTGTCAAGTGTAGAGCTCAGGTGAAATCTAAACGAAATAATCCATAATAATGACTATATGATTTTATAAAGCTTAACTTTATTGATATTACCAGCCAAAAAGTTACATGGTTGGCATGCAAAATGTTTTAAGTAGGGAAAATCTCTAAGCCCCAGGTTATTTAGAAAAGATTGTAAGCCATTTCTCTAATAGTCCATTACAAACCATTCTTCAGTAAAACCATCACAATTAGTTACATGTATATATTGGATAGCCATATAACTGTCCTCACCACTTTTGAATAGAATGAAGGCAATGAGAGGGAAAGAAGTAAATAAGTTTAGATGACTGTATTGGTTACATGTCCAGGAATCCACCATGGGTAGTCTGGGTAGTCACATCTACCTATTCAGTAAGTGCAGGTGGGCTGGAGAGTTGGTGAGGTATCAAGTTGTTGAACTGACACTAGTGGTGGAGTGTGGTGTCTTGATATTCTCTACTGAATATGTATTTTAGAAGGAGAAGGAGACAGAAAAATTTTCCAGTTAAAATTCCCTGGGATACACAGAGTAAGGTGAGTTCATTTGAGATTTTTTTCCCTTTTTGTGATTCATTAATGTCTTACAAAGTTTGTGTTTGAAGTCTTAATTTTAATTTTCCTTTCAATAACCTGGTCATGCAGTTGCTTGTAATTCAAGTGTCAGTTACTTGAACTGTTTTCTTATTATTATACCCTTTGATGCTAAGCTTCTTTGCATCAATATAAATAACAGGTACAGCAGCACTGGCATAATAGCAGTCAGCATTGTGCATTATTAAACCTGTAGGTCATATTTTCTGGGGCTGCTGTAAGAAATTATATAAGCTCGGTAGTTGAAAGGAGCAAAAATCTATTCCATCCTGATTTGGGAGGGTCGAAGTCCAAAGAGAGGGGTGTGAAGGATAGTCCTTCCTTGTAGTAAGAGCTGCTGCAGGCTCTACTAGCAGGTTCTGGCAGCTGTCTGCAGTCCTGGGCGGTCCTGCCTGGGAGATACATCTCATCTATGCCTTTGTGTTCACGTGGTGCTCTCTTGTGTCTATTTCTCTTCTCTAATAAAATCACTGCTCATATTGAGCTAATGGCTGCCTCCCACTTAGGCCTGTACAACCTGCTATTTCTTTCACTAATTACATCTGCAAAGATCTTATTTTCAAGGAAAATTACATAATGAAGTTCTGAGAAGGAAGAATTTTCTGGAAAACTCTATGGATTTCACTACAGAGTATAGCATTATTTTTATGTCATGAGGTTATTGTGAGGATTAAATTAAATTAAACTACACGAATGACTCAGAAGCACAGCATCTACATAGGACATGTCATAAAATTCATTGCTGTTATTGCTTTTGAGTTAATTTATTAATTAACGAATGATCAAATTAAATTATAAAACTGAAGAACTTTCTCCTTAGTTGCAGGAGTCTGATGAATGAAATTTTCCTCCTCATTCTATTTTGCCTCATACTATTAAATTAAAAAAATAGACTCTTCCAAGTTTGCGGATAAGAGTGATATTTATTTTCAAGTTCATTGTAATGTTTAGCACATATTATTGTGTTTATTAAATTTCACAATAAAATGTTGCTGTGGATGGAATATTTGTGGTCCTCCAAAATTCACATCTTGAAATCCCAGTGGTCAGTGTGTGGTCTTGGGAGGGGTCTTTGGGAGGGGATTAGTCAGGAGGGTGGAGTTCTCATGAGTGGAATTAATGCCCTTGTTAGAAGAGATTTGAGCAACTGCACCCTTTGCTTTCTGCACTAAAAGACTGTAACTATGAAGTGGATGGTCATCTACAAGTCAGAAGTTTGATCTTGAACTTCATAGCTTCTGGAACTGTGAGAAATAAATGTTTGTTAAGATTCTTAGTCTATGCTATATTATAGCAGCCTGAACTGACCAAGACAAACATTTTCTCAAGTGCTACCCAATATTATGTCAATTTCTCTCACTTTAATTTTCTGTACTTGAATTCTGCATGGTTAAGAAGTTAAGTACTAAAAATATCAGACTTATTCGTAATCCATCAACTGAACTTTTTGAACATTAACTACTCAGAAAAAAATTTCTTTACTAACTCCTGGATTGTTTCTTAGCACAAACTGTGTAATCAAGAAGGCTTGTCTTGTTTCATGTGTTACCTTAGCACACAATAAAATGGTGTTCTACCCTTTCCAATTTTTGAATAGCTTTTTCTGTGCCTAACTGTTTTCCTACTCAAACTAATCCAAAGAAAAGCATATTGTTATGAATTTTGAGGAAGGAAAGATGCTTTGTAACTGTCTATGTTAGATATGCAACACATCTTTTGTAGAATAATGGTATTTTGAAGAATGATTAAAAGTTTAGTAAGTTGAACTCTAAGAGATAGACATATTTGATTCTTTTATGTTTTTTAGATAGGTTATATAAGTAACAAGACATTTGAATTTCCCTTTTCCTTCTTCTTACAAACATCAAAATCATCTACATTTCCAAACTACTCACCAGAAGATCTTTCTTTCCTCCCCTTCTCTCCCCTCCCCTTCCCT